CGACGCTCTGGCCTGGGATTGGATCTCTTCCTGCTGTCCTGCCTCCCCCCACGGCCTCTTTGGGGACCGAAGCCCAGGTTCTGTTCGTGCTGGCCCCTCCGCCTGTAGCATAGTTAAACCTCGTGACCCGCAGCCTCGTGCACAATCCCAGAAGGACCAATTGCCCATGCATGTGGCTGGGTGCTCCTTCTCTCTCTCTCTCTCTCTCTCGCCAGACCAGCACCGGCATATATGCCAACGATCTGGCTGCGAAGCTGCGTGGCTCGCTCCAGCACCACTGTCCTCCCCATCTGGCGGGGAGAGAGAAGCAGACTGCCCGCATGCGTGGCGTGCGGGCTCGTTTACTGCCAGGTCTCCGGAATCCAGATCTTCGAACCATCTTTTATCGGCCCGGATTCCCGGGGCACGAGGCTTCCGGCCCCTCTTGCAGATTGCTCCTCCTCTTCCGTCCCTTCTGCCTTCCGGTCTCTCCTCGCCCTCCCCTCCCCCCCTTTCCCCCTCTCCCCTCGCCCCCCCCCCCGGCCTTTGTCGGCTCTCCCTCGAATTCCTGTCTCTGCGCATCATGAGCGACGCCGCCGTCGCCCCGCCCTGCAGCAGCGAGCTGCAGCGCTTCCTGGTCAAATTCGCCGACTCGCATCCCGCTTTCTGTGCCCCGGAGTTCCTGTCCGTGGCCAAGGTCTTGGTGCGCCTTTGGGCTTGGAAAGCATCCTCTTTCTCCACATTAATAACCTCGAGATGTTACCTGCATGTGTACTCGCATGGCCTCGCCGCTCCCTCGCCAAATGGGCCAGGGCATCGAGTGTGCCATCGAGGTGGACGGTCAGCCGGTGAAGGATGCCTACTCTTTCAGCCAGCCGGTGCGTTGCGTGTCCCCTCCTCTTCTATTTGTCTCTCCCTCTCTCTCCCCCCTCTCTTCTTCTGCCGCTCCTGTCGCCCCGCACATGGTGGTCCACGATGACTCATCCCTCTTGCCATCCGTCACGCGCGCATTTGGCATGTGAACCCGGATGCTCGCACACGCACAGTCCCCCTTCATTTATGTTTACCTGCCGAATGAGGCGGCGGCCCGGGCCATCGCTCGGCGTAGTATCCTCGTTCGGTGCGTTGTCATTCTCGAACAGCAATCTACAGGCACCTGAAGCATGCCTGTCCTGACCCTGTCCCCCGCCTTCTGCACACACACACACACACACACACACACGCGCCTCAGTGCCATTCTTCGTGAGTGGGCCTCGGCCACCTCGTATGAGGAGCTCCTCGACCAAATCCGAAATGACCCCCCCGGGGACATGGTACGCCCTCGATGGTTGGCGATCCGGCAGGCCGCCCATCGGCGCTGGCCTGCCTCGTGTGATGCTGCGCATGCTGACCGACCATCTGCCACAGGTTGACTTCCCCGCCGGGAAGACCTTCGCCATGCGGGTGGAGGGCTACCATCAACGCCTCTCGATCGAGTACCAGCGGGAAATGATCAATCGCATTGGCGAATGCTGCCCGCCGGCCGTATACGAGCGAGGCCGTGTGAACTTGCGCTCGCCCGACGTCACCTGGTGCTTGATCGAGGAGTACATCTCGCGCGGGCCACTGCAGCGGGTGTACTTCGGCACCCGAGTGGCCGAGGGGATCCGCGTGACGGATCATCTGCTAGATCGGTTCCGGCTGAACCGCCGGTCGTACCTCGGCACCACGGCCATGGATCCGGAGCTGGCCTTCCTGATGGCGAACATGGCCTGCTCCGCGCCCGGCCGCGTGGTGCTGGATCCCTTTGTCGGGACCGGCAGCCTGCTGCTGAGTGTGGCGGCCCTGGTGCCGGGGGTGCAGGTCCTCGGCACGGACATCGACCCGCGCACGGTGCGCGGCCTGGGCCGGCCGGTGGCCGGGTCCCGGCCAGGGACCAATGCCCTGACCAACTTCCAGGAGATCGGCCTGGCCCATAGTGTGGATCTGGTGCTGTGTGATGCGTCGCGGTCGCCCTGGCGGCTGCCCGGTTTCACCGGACAGTCGACCGCCCGCCTCGCTGGCTTTGTTGATGCCATCATCGCCGATCCGCCGTACGGCGTGCGCGAGAGCGCTCAGCAGCTGACCCAGCGCCTGCGGCCGCGGTCATGCGCCGAGCCAAAGTGCGTGTGCCCCCCCCCCCCCCCCCCCCCCTTCCGCTTCCCCTGCCGGTCCTCTCGGTCCCGCTGGCTGCCCACCCCTTTGCCTTGCCGTCGCCCATCGTTTCGGTTTCCATCTCTGACTTTGGTTCCTCGCTCGCCGGGTTTCTGCTTGATAGTGATGAGCGCTACATCCTCAAGACCAATTACCCGCCGGAGCAGGTGTATGCGGATCTGGTGGACTTTGCGGCACTGCACCTGCCCGTGGGCGGCCGCCTGGTGTACTGGCTGGCCGTAATCACGGAGTTCTTCACGCCCGAGGACGTTCCCCGGCATCCGGCCATGAACCTTGTGGCCCTGTGTCCGCAATCCTTCTCCCGCTGGACGCGCTTCCTGGTGGTCATGGAGAAGACCCGCGAGCCGGCCTTCGATGCGGGGTCCACCACGGCGGCGGGTGGCCCCCTACCGTTGGCTTGTAGCCTGGCGCCTGGAGCTGGCCTGGCCGCGGAGGATCGTGCCTATGTGGAAACCCTGCGCCAGGGCCGAGAGACATCGTACGGGCAATTCCGCACGCAATACTTCAACACGGCCAAGAACGGCCCGCACGAGCCGGTCCTGCCACTTGCCCCCGGCGAGGGGAAGGTCCGGCAGACGCGCCGGCGTGCGGCCCCGCTGCCGGATGCCGTCCCCGCCGTCGCGCCGACAGCGCAGCCGGAGGAGCAGTAGAGCGAGCCTCGGGGGCCCATCCTGCGGTTTGCCCCGGTGCTCCCTTCCCCCCCCCCCCCCGCCCCCTCCCCTTGCCCCGCAAGATCGCCACCCGGCGTCTGCCGGCTGTCTGGTCCAATAGATGCGCGCACGTGACCCTTCTGGAAGTGGGGATTCAGCGTACTGGACGAGCAAACGATGACTTGGTTGGGCACCATCCCTCTGGCTCTTTTCTTTCCTGGTGGAGGTGTGGGGGGGGGGGGGGGGGGGGGGGGGGAGGGGCCATGGCGGACATGCTGTGTGGGGCAAAGGGGCACAAGGA